AATTGTTTAATTGATTAAAAATTTATAATTACATTGATTAATTGATTGATTAGTAAATCATATTTACACAATAATTTAATTGATAAGTAAACTATAATTAATTCATTTAATTACTTGATTATAAAATTATGATTATACTATTTAATTGATTTGTAAACTATGAAGATAGTAATTACTATGTGCTAAATGGACAGTCAAGATTACTTTTAGAATAAAATGGACAGTCAAGATTATTTTGAAAGCAAAATGGATAGTCAACCATACATTGATAGCCAAATGGACAGTTAACCAAACTTTGATAGCCAAATGGACAGTCAACCATACTTCGACAACCAAATGGATAGTCAACCATACTTTGACAACCAATATGATGGTATAATTTCTTTTTCCTTTTCCCTCCCATAATTTTTAATTTCATGTTGGTGCATACCTTTTACTAATATATTACTTAATTTTATGTTAATATACATGGGAATTGTTGAGGATACTCCTGAATCATTATGGGATTGTCCATCTCGGAGTCCTCTAAGGAAGAAGTTGACAACATCAAGGAATCATATTGCAATCTCCCAAGACATTCCATTGCCTAAAAATGAAGATAACTTTGTCTGTCAAATATGTGATATTCCTGGACATTTAGCTACTATATGCCTACGCAGATATGTAGTAACTTGTCAACTATATAACCGTGAGGGTTATACTGCAAAAGTTTGCCCAAATCGTTACCGATTAGAAATCATGTCAAACCCATCCAAAACACCTATTGAGTCCTCTGAAACTATTACAAAGATTTTAGGTAATAGTCATTGATGTCTTACATTTATAAAAAAGTCTTGGGATGAGGCATGTTAAAAATTACGTTCTATTCAAGAACTATAGTATCTTTACCTTACTTACCTATATTCTGCAATATATTTTCTAATTTCCCTTATCCATATATGAGATTAGGACATAGTGTTTTAATTAGTATTCTATGTCATGACACTTTAATTATGATATTAGGTTATCTTTTATATTTATATATTTCAATTACATGTTTTAATATATATTTAGAACATAGAGCTAATTAATTTGTAGAAATTTTATATTATATTACTTATAAATTTTAGATCAAAAAGTTTGAAACAAATTAAGTAAAAAAGAAGAGGAAACATCAAAAAGCAAGAACTAGACCAATAAGCAAAAGACTTAACTACCTATTTCAGTCAAAACACTTGACCAAAAAAAGGCAACCAAATATCCCATTCTCGGTGAAAAAAATTTATCTTTAATTCGGTCAATAGACTTGACTAAACTGGCACACCTATTAGTTCGGTCAAAATATTTGACCAAACAAAGGCAACCCAATATCCCATTGATGGAGAAAAAAATGATTTTTGATTTAGTCAAAATGCTTAGTTCGGTCAAGCACAATGACCAAAATAAGCTTCAAAATTACATCTTATATCAAGTGTTTGTACGCAAACTAATATGCAAATGAGGTTTAGTTTTTTTATTTATTTGGTTGAAATATGTTATGTTGGTAGAAGGATTAATGTATTGATATGTAGCTTTATAAATCTTTTTTATGAGGTGTTTCGT